TGTCTTTTCAGATTCAGCGACAGTCAGTCTAAGTGATGGCTCTCCACTGCAGAATCCTTTACGTAATAAACTAAACTGTCCTGTAGAAGCATGGGGTAGATGGAGCCTAATCAGTTCATCTTATCTGTTACATGAGGCAGGGTACTAGACTCAAAACAGAAGGAAGTTACACTTCTTATTGAGGTCTGAAAGGGAGATGCTGTTATAAGGAGGAGCTTGGGAGACTATGTTATGCCTGGACAATAACTCTTGTTAATTTGGATGATACAATTCTTGTTGCTGTGTTGACTAGAACCTAAGAGGAGCTGACAAGATTGTAAGTCGCATTTGCTAGGGCCCCTCTACAGAGGGCTGCATAAGACTCAAGGCTGGATTTAGAGACTGTCTTAACATAGACTTTAGGAGTAAACAAAAATCAAAAGAGAGGAGTAAGCAAGGTGGCAAAATACTGTACTAGATTTTTCAGAGTAGTAAAAATGAACTCACAGCACAGACTGACTGAGCATTAAACTAGCAGGTGAAATTCAACACGCATAATGGTCATAAAGAAGGGCTTAAACCCCAAATTGCAGGGTCTGAATCTAAAGGAGAATCCTATCCACACTTTTCAGAAACTGAAAACGTCAAACATGAGAAGTCCAGAAACTCTATTTTTAAAACTCAGCTGTTGCCTCTCATGTATGCAGCTAATTTGAATTTGTGCCTGGCTGGTGGGAATGCTGAGGGGCCACTAGTACAGAAGGTGGTGGAATCTTGCAGATGTGATGACAATGCAGAAAATCAATGCTAAGAGGGCTTGCAGAAAGGGAAATGTAGGATGCCTGTTTTCTCCAATGCCTTCCCTGTATAGCACAAACACAGCAGAGCAAAGCCAGAGGGAAACATGGGCCCGCAATATGCATGCATTTGAAATGATCCAGCTTGAACTATGGTATTATAGCTCTTCTCAGGAACAATCTACAGTAACAAGGAAGACATACCTAGAGAGTTGGAGTCACCTGAAATTAACAGGTTCCAGAGAAAAGGAATAAAAAAAAGAGATGAATTATAGCACGGAAGGAATGGGTGAAAACTGCTCCAATTATTTATTATCAACATTCCCTGTTCTGCAGAAGAAAAACTCATCATCTGGTGGCACAAATTTCAAAGAAATTTAGTCAGTAAGCCACAAGATGACTCACAGCATAATTACTTGGACAGCATCCATCTTCAAATAGATATGTAGAAGGAATGAAATAGGCAATCAAGGAGTTTTAAAAGCTGGCTTTTTAAAGGACATATGGTCCAAAAAGGAGAAAGTGAGAATGTAAACAAGTTGAAGGACAGTTGGAACAACTGTCAGGCAGTATAGATGGTTACCAACTCCCAGGACTGATTTTCCAGTTTTCTCACTGGAAAAGTCCGTAGGTTCCCAAATCAGTTCCATACCTACAGACTTGTTTAAATACCTGTTCCAAAATCTTCAAACTTTTCCATACGGATTTAAGGGAGCACAGAGAGAACACCAGACAATTGGCTTAAGCTAACTACAATCAAAAAAATTTGACTTGCTGTAAGACATTTTACGCGAAGATTTCGAAAAGCATGAATAATGGGAGAGGGTAAGCTTCATCACGAAGCCCAGTACGGGGCAGTCAATTGGGAGGTGACTACTCAGGAATCTCAAAGTTCATATTCCAAATTACCCCAGCCTGATACTTAGAATGTTTCCGAATGGAAGAGGGTGGTGAAAATGTTCACCTGGCACAATGAACAGCTAAATGACCAGGAAAAGATGTTCAGTGTTCCAGTTAATCACTGATTTTTTTTTTTTTTTTAAAAAAAAGTCTCTAAATGTAAAAACTCCTACTTTAAGCAAATATACTAAATGCCAGAAACGTATTCCAGGATTTGTTTCTCCAGTACCAGTCTTCGTTTCCCCAAAACCATCATCACAAATCCTGAAAACTTTCTAGAAGGATCAGAACATTGAGAATCCGAAGAGCTATGGGTTCTAAATAGAACCCTACCCTGATTAAAAACTGTAGTATATACTAAAAATAAAATTGAAGCTGAAGATGCTAAAGTATTTGGGCCTTAAAAAAATCATGTTTTTAGACTTGAAAGATACCATTATTTTAATGCATAAAGAACCTATGAATTTTGATGAGATTCAGTCATGAGTTGTGCTCACTTGTTCCTTTAAATTTAACAACATACAGATAGCGTGGAGCAAGTACTTTCAGGCCAAAATGTAGCTTTTCAAGCTAGTTTGCTTCTGCAGTGGTCTCATGGAATAAGAGAATTTTAGTGTTGCACATGAAACAGATTCCCCAGGTTTTAACGCTAACAGGAATGAAAACATATTTGCTACATATTTTTATAGAATTATGAAGAAATATATATTTTTTATTTACAGAGATGCTTTAAAACTGTTATAGTTTTAACGATCTCAGACTGTAGTCATACGTGTGATTGCTTGCTAGTTAGTTCCAGTGACAATCTGCAGTGAAAGAACTAACTTCCAGAACAATACATACAACTAATATATGCCAAGCAAAATAAAATAAAGTAGAATGACTACAATAGGCTTATAATAAACAACAGTAAGTGTTCAAAACCTAATTACAATACTCTTTATCATTATAATCATTGTACAAAGTTGATCATATGCTCACCATTTGTTCCATCTGTGTACAAGACAGAACATATGTTTCTGGTAAGGGGAAAAGAGGCATAAAGAAACAATACATTTAGAGAATATGCAAAATTATCTGTGATTCTGAGAAACCCAACTCTTTCCAAGGGTACCTCCTATGGCTTTTCTGAATTTTATAAAGGGTGGGGTTATTAGCAGCACAGGTATAAAATTGTCCACCTCCCTCTCTTGCATCCATTTTTACAAAACTTTAAGGGATCTCAGAGACCTATTAAGATGAAAAGGGCCAGCAGATTTTGCTGCAGAAAGGCTTGGGGGAGACCTAACGCATACACACAGCGGCACCTCCTTTCTGAAAGAAACTGAGGTAGCGTTAAACAAAGATTCCCTAGCCGTTTGCCCACCGTATCTTTCCAGAATTATCACTCTTTTAATCCTCCATTTGCTGTCCTTCCACCACCAACTGTCACTCCCTGGTATTGGAGCCAGTGGTTTCAGCGACTCGTGGCTGCCCCAAAAG